CTAGACTTTACCCTACCTGTGTACGTTACCTGCGGCCATGCTGTGCCAGCGGCGTGTCTGGAGTGTATTTTTTGGCTGTGACAGACCTTTCTTTGTTTCGTGGATGTTTTGCTGGCTTGTGATGGGGTGTGAACCGACAGTCTGTAGAGTTTTGCTGGCTTGTGATGGGGTGTGAACCGACATTGAGTACACACACGCTCCAAAGGGTGGCATTGATTACTTCGATCAGGAAGGATGTACCCCCCTTCACCCCTGCCTAAGTTAGCCTGCTCTACTTGTCTCCTGTGTTTTGCTAACCTGGCGATCATTTTATCGCCTTTTTCTCCTACACCTTCTCCTCTTATTTTGGTCTTCTCCCTCGGCTTCCTTCCTTGCCCGTTACTTTCCGCCCCATCTTTCGCCGCTCGGCTCTCTTGGGGTTTTGTGTTTCTGAAGAAGCCCTTTTCTCTGCTGTCTGCCACATGCCGATGTTCGTCTGCAGGGTTCACTTTATTATCTATTATTGGTGCGCAGCACACTGGGATCGTGCATTTTCATTATTGTCTCGTAAGCGTGTATGTCCTGGCAGGCTTTGGATATGGCATGAATGGCAGCTGCATTGGTTTCTGAGCCGCGTGTAGTTTGTCCGTGTGAGCGTTTTGGGTGCCGCGTGTAGATTGTCCGTGTGAGCGTTTTGGGTGCCTGGGCAAAGTGTTTTGGCTTTCCGTTCACACCTACGGTTGACTACGGCCTTTTGTCTACAGTAAGAGGGGGAAAAAAAAAAAAAAAAAAAAAGAGGATGTACAGACGCGGTATAGAGTCAGGAATCAAGATGCCTCTTTTTTGTTTTCCCTTGTTAGAAAGCCGGACTTGATCAAGCAAAAAAGAGGCGTTGACTACAGTCTTTACTTGTGTGTGTCATTCTTGTGCAGTGTCCATGCTAATGTTCTCTGTGTCATTCCAATTGTATATAGGATACCATTATCATGCAACTTTTTGTGGGCGTGCACTTGGTCTGACACATTTTTGGTCTCACATCCGTGAACCCGCAATTTTGCAGCTCATCGTACATTTTGCTGCAGGGCGTTTTTGCCCACAAGTCAAAAATGTGTCCGCAAGTCCAAATATCAGATATCAGATGATGGTGGAAGGCTTGCCGACATACTGGACGGTGTCGCCTTTTGTTTCTGTGTGCCAATCAGTCAATGTGTAGAGGGAGAAACAGTGTCGCACTGTTCGCTTCTTGGACCCATGGAAGTGGAACGGTGCTGAAAGTTACAGGCCATTCGACATGTGCGACATGTGCGACAAGCTATGTATCGGCAGTCGGCTCAGAGGTGGTACTGTTGGAGATAGTAGGCACATCTCGCTCCCATCCGCTCATTTTGTCACCGCTGTGTCCACTCGGTTGGACCAACCCCCCTTTTATTTCCGACTGTCCAGTGTAATACTAGAATGGGGTATGTGAGGTGAAGGTAGCGCATCATCTTATGGATGAGTAGCAGAGGAGTGTGAGGAGTGACACACCCTCGCTGGGTATGTGAGGTGAAGGTAGCGCATAATCTTATGGATGAGCAGTAGCAGAGTGTGAGGAGTGACACACCCTCGCCGCCCCCTCACGGGCTTACTAACCTGACCTGAGGCTGTGGAGTATACAGAGGACTCAGACGAGGATTGTGTCGAAGCGAGGGAGAGTTTAGCGGGAGAAAGAGGAAACGTACTGCCATCTTCTCACGAATAGGATGTACGGTCATTGTAACTGTATTTGGCTTACCTTTCAGTCCAGATGCAGCGAAAATGACCATATGTTCTATTCGGGGCGAAAAGGTAGGGAGATCCTGCTGCCACTGTTACTCGATCCACGACTTCATTGGTACTTGCGAGAAAGTACTCAGTGTGACCATTCGCTCTTTTTTTCTTTTTTTTCTTTTTTTTGTGACCATTCGCTCTTACGTAGAGGCTGCCTAGTATATCCCTCTCTAGTATCTTTCTCATTTCTTACCCTCTTCTGGAGAACTCCACACAACTTGAAGTGGTGAAGGCATACACTCGAGTGACCTTTCAGCTGCAAGTCCCCGAAAGACTTGCTAACACCCATCCTGGTTCCCATAACCAGATTGGATGCAAGGTGCCTGAGCGTTCAAACACCCATGTCGCCTTAATCATTAAACCACCAGTACCTTTCCCCACTTGAAAAACAAATACGCGCCGGGTGAACATGGGCACCCTTCGGCAGTCGGGTAGCAGACTGAAATGGCTGGCAGCGCCAGCCAAAATGAGCGCCGGGCCGTTCGTTTATTTTTGGCACGCAGGGCGATTTTAGGCTCTGAATCGATAGCTGAGAAAGGTGTGTTTCACGGCTGTGATGCGCGGCTTGGATGCAGCCGCAACGTTTGGGGCTCAGCCTCCTGAGCAGAATGGCAGGTGAGCCGGGTGGCACCAGCCAGAAGGAGGCCCGTGCTGCTTCAATGTTTTTGCCATGCAGGGCGTCTCCCGCCCCGAAAAAACGTGCGTCGGAAGTACCGGTGGTTCAATAATGAATCCTCTTTTTTTCTTCTTCTTCTTTTTTTTTTTTTAAGACAACACCCCCTGCAGTGCTAGTGCTGCTGGTAAAAGCAGGCAGCACTAGCACCCGGGTAAAGGCTCCATCTATTGGTGGGGAGCATCACCTGCTGGAAAACGGGTCCAGCGTCCCTTATACACAGAACGAATCAGGAAAATGTCAGGGAAAAAATTATGACTGAGAAAGACACCTGCCAAAAAAAAAAAAAAAAAAGAAAAAAAGACGACACCTGCCAGCATTGATTACTCTGTCCTCCAGAGGATTGACTGTGCAGGCTGTTGGGAAAAGGGAAAAAACACTCGTCGCCTTGTACCTGTCGCCAGATACCTGCTGCTGAGAGACTAAGTCCTCCCTCTCCCGAAGAGCGTTACCGGCCCATCTCCCACTATCAATCCCTCTGTTCCACACGATGTCGGCTGGCGGCTTTGTGTGGACATGGTAGATCCTCTGTCACCTGCTTTTCCGTCCAGTCGTAATCCATAGATGAATCCATTTCGAAGAGTGCTTAGAAGTGTGAACCTACCTTCAGCCCCTGAAAATAACTCGTGGTCATTTTAACTACGTCTAGTCGGGAATGGAGCTCACATTGTTTATGATGACTAGATGATGTTGTTAGGGGAAAGAAGGTAGTTGCAAAGATGGCCAAGTTTATATCTGCGTCGCGGTTTGAACATGGCACCAATTTGGCAGGGTCTCAAACACCAACCTCCTTTAGTGATGTATCTATTCAACTACCCTTTCATCTCCTCCCTGAAGAAATAAGAATAATAGCGTCCAGGCTGCATCCGCTAACACTTCCCAGTCGCTAACTTCTCTGACTTGTCAATTGCTATATACCATTTAACACTTTTTCAGCGTCAGTTCGGTCCTCATGGGGGAGTCCGCTTCTGCAGAAGGAAGCCTACAAGCACCCGTGGTTTAAAAACTTGTTTGGTGCAAGGCTCTACAGATGACAAATGGCATCCAGTCCCCTCAATCCAACAAGTGTGATGAACATCTTCACAGCTGGGGTACCAGGTGTGCCAGCAAAGCTGAAAGCACAACTGCTCGAACAGCTAATCCACCACCCGCAGATTTCATAAAAAAAAAAAAAAAAAAGGTGTAGAATATCGGATGGTGGGATGAAATGATGAAAAACAACAGAGCTTGACGCGCAAAGGACATCGAATGTAAAAATAAAAAAATATAATAATGGACGGTTACTGAGAGAAAGAAAAATTGTTTGCATTAATTCCAAAAAATAATGACAAAAACTCAGAAGATGATTGGCAAACTTGTAGATTGTTGAAGAGAGTCTCAAACAATTATAATCTATAAGGTTCCACACGTGAATAACTGGGCACAAGGTACACCATAATTGTCACAGAGAAAGCGTGCGGTATAGAATTTGCAACACGAAAAGAAGACCAAGCTTCATAAAAAACAGGTTTTGAGGTTTAGACTTGTGAAAAAATCAAATACAAATCACCACCTACTTTCTGTGAGAACGATCATTCTTAGATTGAGCAATACAGAGAGTCCTTCTGTTACTTCTGTTCAATCATGAGTTTGTTAAGCCTAAAAGCTCAATGGTGAGGGCAGGAGTACGAATACCTGCATGAGGGTTCCAAGGCCCAATTCGAATAGTGGAGGAAACATTGCCGACCTCGAACCCCACCCTCTGTGTTGTGCACTTTTGGGCAGGAGGGCGTCGACCGATGCGGGCACTTGCGTATTGGGTTGTGTGGGTCGAAGGGGGGATTGAGCGGGAGGAGGGGGTGGGCTTAGTTCGGAGGGTTAGGGGAGGGATGCCAGGGCACACTACTCTCCTAGCACACGTAATTGGGCGCAAGTTAGGCAACAAGGTACAGTGGTGCACGGACTGCCTCACGGCAGGTCGCTTTTGGGGGTTGAGCTCGTGTTTGAGTTCGAGTGCCACATTCCTAGTTGCCGGCGATCGAGAAGCTCCAATCCAAGATTGACACCCCCCGTGTGTCTGTGGTTAAGAAAAAGTCATGTTCTTGAGTGTGCTCTGTGTCGTGAGTGAGCTCAAGTCGTTATCAGGTGGGGGTAGATTCGGTGCATCTACCCCCTTGGCGGGCACCCTCCATGGTATTATCCCCAACACCTCACACAACCTTTTATACAATATAATCAAAAGGGAAAAAAAAAATCTTGTGTTTTTAGCTAAGTAGCAAATCCGGATATCCAGATGCCCTTCAGTTATCCGGGTTTTCCGGCCGGAGGAAGGGCCTCAGAAAATACCGGAAATACTATTTTCGGGGCCTGCGCAAAATATGCACAGGCCCCAGAAATCGTATTTGGCGGTCTGGCGGAGTAGAGGGTGGTAGCCCGAACACCCTCCTGCGTTCAGATTATGAAGGGGGCCTACCGGTTTTGAAAAAAACAAGGACCCAACTGGGCCGTTGATCGACGATGATCCACGGCCCAGATCAGGCATTTTGAATTCGAAATTGCGCAGCCCCCATTTTGGACTGCGCGCGGTGTAGTGGCCTGGGCCCCCGTCCCTCCCCACCAACGCCCCACTGCCCCGTTGCCGTGCTGCGTGTTGTCGCCCCCACGTGCTTTGGCGCTGACGGCCCGCTGTCCCGCCTCCCTGATGCTTAGCTGCTGGAGCCATTGCCGCTGTCCTTGCTTGCCATTGCCGCCGTCCTTGCTTGCCATTGCGGGGACCCTCGTCCTCCTTGTCCTCCCCCTTAACCCCCTCCACCTCCTCCTCTTCCTTCTCCTCCTCTTCCTCGTTCTCCTACTCCTGATAGTCCTCTTCCTCCTCCCTCTTGTTGTTGTCCACGTCGTCATCCTCCTCCTCCTCCTCCACCTTCTCCCCCTCGTCCTCTTTTTCCTTTTCCTCCTCCTCTTTTGCCTCCTCCTCCTCCTCTTCCGCCTCTTCGTCCTCATCCTCATCTTCTATGTCCTCCTCCTCCTCCTTCCCCTCATCATCTTCATGCTGCCCCCCTCCTCCTCTTCTACTTCCCCCTTCATCGCCTCCTCCTCCTTCTCCTCCTCTTCCTCCTCCTCCTTCCCCTTCCCCTCCTCGTTCTCGTACTCCTGATAGTCCTCCTCCTCTTCCTCCTCCCTCTTCTTATCATCCACGTCGTCATCCTCCTCCTCCATCGTCTCCTCCTCCTCCTCCTCCTCCTATTTTTCCTGCTGCTGCTCCTCCTCTTTGTCGTTTTTTTCCTCCTCCTCCTCCTCCTCCTCTTCCTCCTCTTCGTTCTCGTCCTCGTCTTCTAGTTCTTCTTCCTCTCCTCCTCCACCTCCTCCTCATCTTCGTGCTGCCCTCCCCCTCCTCTTCTACTTCCTCCTCCATCTTCTCCCCCTCCTCCTCCTCTTCCTCCTCCTGCCCCTCCCCCTCGAACTCCTCCCTCTCCTCCTCAGACTCCTCCCGTTCTTTATTTTTTTCGCTTCAATCAATCGAATCAATCGAATCAAAAAAAGGAAAAAAAATATTATCCAATTTAATCAATCGATTTGGTTGGATATTAGGATAATGTTGTTGTTGTTGTTGTTTTTTTTTTTTTTTTTCGATTGATTGATTGATTGAAATAAAATAATAAATTTGGTTGGGTGGCTGGGTGGCAGGAGAGGGGGGTCGAGGTAAGAATGTTTGGTGGAGGCTCGCGGTGATACTGACGTGGAAATCGTACGCTAGATGCAGGGGGAGGGTCAACGTCTGCGTCAACAACATCGTTTTTGTCCCCTCTCTCCTCCTCCCCTTCCTCCTCCTCCCCCTCCTCCTCCTCCCCCTCCTCTTCCTCCTATTCCTCGTCCTCCTCTGCCTCCTCTTCCTCCTCCTCTCCCCCCTCCTCCTCCTCCTCGTTCACGTTTTTGTCCTCCTCCTCCTCTTCCTCGTCTTCCTCTCCTACTCTTCTCCTCCTCCTTAGCGGATTTTGGCTTCCATAACCACTGTCCTCCTATCTGTAGCAATCAACACCCTTTGCGGTGTTTTGGTTAACACGCAGTTTGGCAGCGTAGCTCGACCGCATCACCAGTTGTGCTTACAAAAAATGGAGCACTTGGAGCTTTCATTAATCCTCGCGATTCACTTAAGCAACCCCAAAATCTTACCCATTTAGAGTTCGAGAATAGGTCCATTGTGTTTCATCCCCGAGGCCTCTAGTCATTCGCTTTACTCGATAAAAAATTGTTCAACAAATTAATCAATCAATCAATCGATCGATCAATCAATCACAACCATCGATTCCGATGGGTTTTGATTTATTTGAGATCCAATTGAATCGCGATTCGATTGGATTTTTAATCAATCAAGATCCATCGTAATTGATGGTCCTGATGGATTGATTGGTCGATTGATTGATTAAAAAAAAAAAATGAAGGGACGGGGGAGGGGGGACGACCACGTCAAAGAATATTGCAAACGGACATGGAGGAGGAGGAGGAGGAGGAGGAGGAGGAGGAGGAGGAAAACGAGGAGGATGAGAAATAGGAGGAGAAGGAGGACACACATATAGTCAATCAATGAAACTCACATACATACACAGGCATTGAATGGCCAAAAAATTACAATTCGCCACAACCCCATCAAATTTTGACCTTAGGTAATGTATACCTAGCGGTAAAAAAAAAACGAACAAACAAACAAACACCTTTTTTGGGGGCCGTTTTTCAGGCTATCAGTCGAGCCGCCCGGAATACCCTATTGCCCCGAACAGCCCGACTGTGCAAGGACTGTAGAGGGTCCAAAAAATAATAAAAAAATAAATAAATAAAACATCCGAATAAAAAAATGTTATCCAAAAAAATAAACTGAACAACTTTCGCCTCAGGGTCACATCGAAATTCTTTACCAAATTAAAAAATATATATATTTTTTAACATATATATATACTAGGGTACCAGCCGGGCCGCCCGGGTCCCGGGTGGCCAGCCCGTGCAAGGACAAGGGAAGGTCCCAGCCAAAAAAAAAAAAAAAAAAAAACTCCAAAAGATCCGAAAAAAAAGTATGTTATGCAGAAAAATAAACTGAACAGTTTTTGCCTCAGGGACACATTGAAATTCTGCACCAAATTTAGAATAAAAAATAAAATGTTAATTTTTTTATTTTTATTTTTATTTTTTAATTGTTTTTGGCCCGGCTGGGCAAGTGACCCCGGGCCTCTGGTAGCAAAGCGGGCAAGTGGACCCGGGTCACTCTGGTAGCCAAGATTATTTCGGTATTTTTTTGTTTATTCGGAACCCCGGATCTACCAGAGGCTGGATGAACTGACCGGATATTCCACACAACATATCCGACCGAGCTGTCGGGCTACTCAAGTTTTTAGCATTGATTTCCTTACTTTGTTTGATGCATTCAACACTGGATGCATATTCACAATTCTACTTCACCAAACAAATTATGAGTTTTATGAAATAATAGGAGATAAACGAGCAAAAGGATTGCGACTGTGAACTTAGTGGATTGAAGGAAGGAAAAATAAATAAATAAAGGAGATCGTCATAATAGGTGAGACGCAAGTATGTGGAAAAAATGGCAAGTTAATAAAAGATAAATGGGTTATAAAATCGAAGTATAACGATTTGCATTCACATATGCATAAACGTGACTTCAAGCGACAAAGTTGATTTCTGTACATCGATACGACATTAACATTCAATTGAATATGAAAGAGAACATGGGTATAAATTGTAAGTGTATAAAAAAACATATCAAACAGGAAGAAGAAGTTGAAGGAGAACAAGAACTACGAGGACAATGATGAACATACCGTGTGAGCTAAAAATGTCTCAATGTTTAATTCGTAAAATCATTTGACAATTTTATGTATTAAGGGGAAAAAATAAAAATAAAAAAAAATTGAAAGAACACATTTATATAATCCATCTTTGACAATTTATCATTTAATCAGATTAAAAAAACTCACCGACTTTGATTACTTACAAGTTACAATGTGTACTTGCATAGTTTAGTAATCAATAATTAAAAAAAACGTTTACCACTTTATAACTCTGTATTAATTAATACGATTATTAAAAAGTCGTTATTGTGAAATGCTTCAACAATGAGATTTGTGCTCTCATAACAGTAGCATATCAAATGTGGTGACTTGGTGTTTTCATCATGTGGCTAACTTGGGTGGATGTCATGTGGGGGCAGGTGCATGACCTTTTCCTTAAGGTATTAGAAATATCATGCGAAGCTTAAATTAAGTTAAATACAACAATATTAAATATTCAAAATAAGCATAAGCTTTATTACTAACATGAGAACAATTTTTTGTAATTATATGAAAAGAAGGTGAAGCGAATTTTTAATTGTAGCATAGGGATAAAAATGAGATTAAAAAAACGAAAGGTGGGCACCCACATATGAAGAGGATAATACTGATCGTACCGTTGAGTGCTCGAGCAGAAGGTTGACTAGGAGATTAAATGATAAAGAGTGTGTGGGAGGAGAGGATGGTACCCCAACTTTTTATTAAAAATGATTACAACCCAAGTGACATCGGGTGCTCGAGTAAAATGATATTAGGGGCAGGGATGCTAGAGCAGTTGAATATAAAAAAAATTATGTCCTTCGTAGCGTAACATGTTTTACAAGGAAAATAAAAGGAAGAGGGCGAAATTTAAAGACCCACCTATGATAGCTCTGGTAACGTGGAACGGTCCAGTATCTGTTTTTTTCCTAGAGGTTGTGGGGGAGATGAAAATGTTGGGAGGGGAAAGTGAGGAAATGTTATGTGTACCATACGATTTTTAGCTCCGCTTAGTGAGTGTCATCGGTTGTTAGGTGCATTGGTTTGTCACTTGATCAAGCTAATTCGATTTTGAGTAAGACTTTGCTATCAACATGTGTTCTTGATACAATACGTTGCCCATTTGTTTATATGTGAAGTGTTGTTTATTGACTAATCAACTAGTTTATATTTGTCATGAAGTATGAACTCCTAACTTTCGTAGTATGACTTTTATAGTTTTATTTTTTATTTTTTATATATTTTTTAACTTGAGTAATAAATAATCATTGAGTCTTATATAATGTTAAAATGGTCTTAGTCATATGGAAGCAACTCGATTTCTCCTCGCCACTTACAAGGAGTTCATGTTAGGAAAAAACAAAGATTTTGTTTTTTTTAACCGAAAAAGGAAAAAAAAAATGTAAAGTTCCCTCAACGTTGTCAGAGGTCTTGGCTTTCAGGGAAGGTTAGAGGAAGAGCTTCGTTGAGCCTTGCTGCACCACTCCCCATATGCCCATGCAACGGAGAAGTTATGAGAATGTATTTTTTCATCGTCCAGCGAAGGATTCAGTTTCCTTGTGCACATTTGAAGAGTAATGCAACGAGGGCAAATCAATGGCATTGATTTAAAGAGTAGTGGAGCGAGGACAAATCAATGACATTGCTCCACTACTCTCCAAACGTGTAAACTGAGACTGAATCCTCCGCTGAAACATGGAAAGGTAAATTTTGTTTTGTGCATCTGGAGAGTAGTGAAGCGACAAAAAAAAAAAAAAAACTTGTTGGGTCTCACGTTACTACTCCGCACATGCTCGAACGAGGCAAGTAACAAAGTATGTTTCTATGTTTTAGGAAAAAAATAGTCTCATTTTTCACATTTTGAGAGTTTGGAACCTGTCAAGGGTGCGTTTTATACACTGAATCAAAATTTCGTCATTTGGTCATACCGGTCGTCTGTTCGGGTCCAAATGGTAGTTGGAAGGGTGATGAATTTGCCGAGGGACAATTTATGGGGAATAGGCCATTGTTGCTTGTGGAGGACCGGTAACTGACTGTAGGAGGTCAAGAGGCCGCGGTCCTTAAGTTTGACATTTTAAAATCGAAAGGGAGTGGATCCACTTCTATGGAATAGAAAAACGGTTCAAATAGACCACGTATGCATTGTGTTCGAATACAACACATATTTTTTATATTCAAATTTTGAAAAGGAAAACTCATGTATTTGAATACAACATGACTTTTTTTTTTTTTTAAAGGTTAACCTCTGCCCTTCTTCTCTTCGTCATTAACATGTTGCATGCTACAAGGTTCTCCCTCTCTCTCTCTCTCTCTCTCTCTCTCTCTCTCTCTCTCTCTCTCTCTCTCTCTCTCTCACACACACACACACACACACACACACACA